ACGTGTTAGTGTCATAATCGTAATTTTCCTTCTCCGTCATCCAATACTCAGTCGCGACCGGACCGCTCATCGTTCCCCAACCCGCGGCTAGGTTTTCACCGTATGGTCCCAAGGAATGCTTCATGGCGCAGTCTCTGGCTCGTTCGTTGGCGTAGCTTTGTGCATAAGTCATGACTCCGACTAAGGCTCGGGCCTTGTTGTGAACCTCAAGCGTTTTCTGCGGTTTGACATCAGCGTTTGTGTTTACGTTTGGCGGTTGAGCGGGAGTGTGACGATAGGCTTGAGTTGAGATGGAGAATAATGCAAGTACGATAAAACTATAACCATAAAACGACATTATCTTCATTTTTGGTTTGGTTCGTGTGTCTTTTATATAAACTTCTTGTTTCGTGGGGAACAATTGATTTTCTTGGCTAATGTATTTATAGAATTTGCTTTGGGGGCTACGGAGAAATAAATGGAAGGTTTATCTTTTTATTGAATTGTATAATATTAGTTAAAGTAATCTATGTAAATTATTTTAACTTTGGAAATTATTTAAATTGAGATAGTCTAGGATATACTATTACAATTTTGCATTTAGTTTTCAAACTTCTAATAAAAGAGATCATTTATCAATATTGTTGGTGTTGTATTTTGCACTCTAAATACAGTCAGAGAAAGGTCCATTATTAGTAAGGCCGGCCCACCATGTGAGGTGCGATATATAGGCCCGACGGAACAGGTAGAAGAATATACCGCTAGCTGCGAGTGGGGATGGAGCCTGAAATGTAGTGATGGGCTTGTATTAAGCCAACTACGATAAAGCCCAATATGCCCAGCTAAAGGCTCAGCTGATAAACCATGCGATTGGGCTGAATAAAACAGTTAAAGGATTTACTTGCGAGCTGCACGCTGAAGAGGAGCTCGCGGATAACAGGTGGAATCAGTCAAGCCAGAGTTCTCGGGGCACGTGCTGAAAATCCGGGATCGTGAGGAGAACGTGTTGCGCGAATATAGGAGCGGTTGCGCCTGATTGATCGCCTATATAAACAGAATAGAAGGCTTCTTCGAGGGGAGAGCCAATCACAATCACTTTTACCCTAGAAAATCATCTAGAACTAAATACTGCGAGCTGCGCTCTGTTATTTTTATTTATCCATCTCATAAATCCTTTGTATTAATCTTGATTCTTTGATCATATTAATACAAATCCATCTCGTTATTCTCAATTTTTATTTATCTAAGATTCATACGAAGATCTAGGCCTTAATTCCCTTTCGTTAATATCAAATTCTTGGTTGTGGGTTTTCGGATCCACAAATACTCTAAGTTATTTTTAATTTGAAAATTTGAGAATACTAAAAAATGCGAGAGTTTTTAATGGATTCTCATAGACAGCAAAACATAGACAAGAATTTAGGGGATGTTCGTTTGTAT